TTTGCTGAGATCTATTCAAGTCCAATCTATATTGAATATCAAATTTAATTTCTCTTTAAATTTGGTTATAATTATATGTCTCCCTCTAAGATGACTTCACATAGAATTGTGAATGTATGTCACATTTGCGTATGAATACATGCCAAGTTACTAGTGAAATTAGCTAACTATATGCAATTGACAAATAGGCAAGACATCCCAATCTGTTATTACTATTTCGTTCACTTCAAAAAGCAATGCTAATCGAACCCCTAAACTTACTTAAGCTCTCTTCCATTACAGAGTATTTTTCCAAGTTGTCATCCATTCCCAGGTTCATCTTTGCTTGATGTGTACTGTTCCAATAATGGATAAGAGTTGGATGATGATAAAAGATAGGCTAAAAAGTAAAGAGTATCTAGAAGGTGTTCCCCCTATTGACCATGTTCAGGACGTTGGACAAGTATGATTTTAAGAATTGAATCATGATTTCATTTGGGTTATAATCAACATAAATTCGGGTCTATTTCCCCTATTGACCATGTTCAGTACGTTGGACAGTTATGAGCTTCATTATTGTCATATAAGAAAAATATATTAGTTCAGTTAATCTCCTATGTTAGTTGTCGTCTTACCAAAACTTAGTCGAAAAAAGGCCTTCGAGGGTCGAAATTTGAAAGAAACCCCCGAACCACTGTAGGGATGGCACGGGTAGCTTTCTTGTGTCAAATAGGACCTGTGGGGACAGACGGGACGTAGTTAGCACGTGTACATTGGGAGTTGGTGTGAAAAACGCCATAAACTTAGCCGAAAAAAGGCCTTCGAGGGCCGAAAATTCAAAGCAGCCCCCGAACCACTGTAGGGATGGCATGAGTAGCTTCCTCATGTCAAATAGGACTTGTGGGGATAGACGGGACGTAATTAGCACGTGTACGTTGGGAGTAGGCGTGGAAAACGCCATAAACTTAGCCGAAAAAAGGCCTTCGAGGGCCGAAAATTGAAAGCAGCCCCCAAACCATAATTAACTTAGCCAAAAAAAGGCCTTCAAGGGCCGAAAATTGAAAACAGCCCCCAAACCACTGTAGGGATGGCTCGGGTAGCTTCCTTGTGTCAAATAGGACTTGTGGGGATAGACGCGACGTAATTAGCACGTGTACGTTAGGAGTTGGCGTGGAAAACGCCATAATTACCTTAGCCGAAAAAAGGCCTTCGAGGGCCGAAAATTGAAAGCAGCCCCCGAACCACTGTAGGGATGGCACGGGTAGCTTCCTTGTGTCAAATAGGACCCGTGGGGACAAACGGGACGTAGTTAGCACGTGTACGTTGGGAGTTGGCGTGAAAAATGCCATAAACTTAGCCAAAAAAAGGCCTTCGAGGGCCGAAAATTGAAAGCAACCCCCGAACCACTGTAAAGATGGCATGGGTAGCTTTCTCATGTCAAATAGAACTTGTGGGGACAGACGGGACGTAGTTAGCACGTGTATGTTGGGAGTTGGCGTGGAAAACGCCATAAACTTAGCCGAAAAAAGGCATTCGAGGGCTGAAATTTGAAAGCAGCCCCCGAACAACTATAGGAATGGCACGGGTAGCTTCCTTGCGTCAAATAGGACCCTTGGGGATAGACGGGATGTAGTTAGCACGTATACGTTGGGAGTTGGTGTGAAAAACGCCATAAACTTAGCCGAAAAAAGGCTTTCGAGGGCCGAAAATTGAAAGCAGCCCCCGAACCACTGTAGGGATGGCACGGGTAGCTTTCTTGTGTCAAATAGGACCTGTGGGGATAGACGGGACGTAATTAGCACGTGTACGTTGAGAGTTGGCATGGAAAACGCCATAAACTTAGCCGAAAAAAGGCCTTCGAGGGCCGAAATTTGAAAGCAGCCCCCGAACCACTGTAGGGATGGCACGGGTAGCTTCCTCATGTGAAAGAGGACCTATGGGGACATACGAGACGTAGTTAGCACGTGTACGTTGGGAGTTGGCGTGGAAAACGTCATAAACTTAGCCGAAAAAAGGCCTTCGAGCCCGAAATTTGAAGGCAGCCCCTGAACCACTGTAGGGATAGCACGAGTAGCTTTCTTGTGTCAAATAGGACCTGTGGGGACAGACGTGACGTAGTTAGCACGTGTACGTTGGGAGTTGGTGTGAAAAACGCCATAAACTTAACCAAAAAAAGGCCTTCGAGGGTCGAAATTTGAAAGCAGCCGCCGAACCACTGTAGGGATGGCCCCGGTAGCTTCCTCATGTCAAATAGGACTTGTGGGGACAGATGGGACATAATTAGCACGTGTACGTTGGGAGTTGGCATGGAAAACGCCATAAACTTAGCCGAAAAAAGGCCTTCGAGGGCTGAAATTTGAAAGCAGCTCCCGAACCACTGTAGGGATGGCACGGGTAGTTTCCTTGTGTCAAATAGGACCTGTAGGGATAGACGGGACGTAGTTAGCGCGTGTTCGTTGGGAGTTGGCGTGAAAAATGCCATAAACTTAGCCGAAAAAAGGCCTTCGAGGGCCGAAAATTGAAAGCAACCCCCGAACTACTGTAGGGATGGCACGGGTACCTTCCTCGTGTCAAATAGAACCTGTGGGGACAGACGGGACATAATTAGCACATGTACGTTGGGAGTTGGTGTGGAAAGCGCCATAAACTTAGCCAAAAAATGGCCTTCGAGTGCCAAAATTTGAAAGCAGCCCCCGAACCACTATAGAGATGGCACGGGTAGCTTCCTCGTGTCAAATAGAACCTGTGGGGACAGACAGGACGTAATTAGCACGTGTACGTTGGGAGTTGGCGTGAAAAACGCCAGAAAGGTTATAAAAATATATTAAAGCTTATACATTAAAGCTTACAAATATATATGTTCTATAAGAATCTCTATATATGTACATTTATGAATAAAATATATATATGTTTACACATTAGACTAAACTTGACTTGGGGCTCATACTTGACTCGGGAAATTTCTTTGCACTTTAAATTTACACTTTAAATACAATTTAAAGTGTAAAGAAACTATATTCAAATTCCTAAATTCACACTATATTTAAATACAATTTCAATTACAATTGATATCCTTGCAATTTTTGTTTTGTAAATGGCTATAACTTTTTGTTTACAATGGAACTAATGGGTGTAATTTTTGTTGTGTAGATGGCTTTTGGCATTGACATGTGGATCTTCTATTTTTTTTGTCCGGAAGATAATTCACAGTTTTGCAAATTTGGGAAGTTTTTTGTCATCATAATCTTTTTGTGTGGAATTTGCATGCATCGTACATATAACTTTTGGCGGGGTACATAGTATTTTTGGAGCTTGTATTAATTGCTCTGGTGGTATATATAGATTACCTTTTGGCGTGGTACATATTACCATGGTAATTTGTACCTTTGCAAATGGTCATTTTACAATGCATAGTATAGTAAAAATGTTGTGTATAGAGGACATTGTTTTGGTAACGTATTTGGAATGTATGACGTTATTATTTGTAATTGGAATATATATAGTTGGTTTGTATATAAGTTTACATTAGAAGGTGTTATTTTTTGTTTGATGGTTGTAAGTGAAACATGCATTACAGAATAGGTGATAATATATATAGGTTGTATACCTATTATAGGTTGCGGTTGATACATATAGGTTCTGACAAAATTTATTAAAATGAAAAAAACAAAACAAAAATATAAAATGAGGTTTTTGGTGACAAAACAATTGGTAGCCAAAAAAGAAAAAGAATCAACCTTTCTGCGACTAAACATTTAGTAGCTGAAATAGCACTATTGGCGACTAATAATTTTGTCGCCGTACATATTTTAAGTTTTCGCGACAAAAGATTTAGTAGCTAAAGATGTGAGTTAAACGAATTAATGTACCCTTTGGGCCACTAATATGTTAGTCGCCAATGTCAGTCATCAGCGACTAAGGCTCTTTTCGTCGCTAATACCTGTCACTTTTGCCTACTAAAATATTAGTCGGTATTTTTGTAGTACTTTTAGCGACTAAACGTTTTTTAGTCGCTAATACCTTCGGCGACGATGTATCCCAACAAAGCCAGCGACCAAAATTTTTGGTCGACAAAGTATTTCGGCGACTTAAATCAATACTTTTGGTGACTAAAAAATTAGTCACCAAAAGTGTATTTTCTTGTAGTGCAAGTTAGCCACAAGTCACTACTGAGAGGCTTCAAGAATGTCCATTTACTGTTTGTGTCCTCATATGTAATTGGCACTACCATTGTTACCTCACCTTCTGCAAATGGCAATGTAAAATCCACATAGAATGATCTGTTCGCTGTGATTGTAATGTCCCCTACTACACCATATTTCTACTTCCAAAAAAAAAAATTTAAAAAAATAAAAATAATCAAATTTCAACAATTAATTCCACATGAATAAACTAATTGATCTTCAAAGTATAATAAATTACATATTTTGGGGACTATACTGTTATTAACCCTTGTTATATCCTAGAAGATTAATTAAGGATAAATTACACCATTAGTTCCTTTAGTTTACGTGAATTATCACTTTAGTTCTTGTAATTTTAATTTAAACAATTTAAATCATATACTTTCAATTTTATTGCACTATGATCTCTTTGTCGCTTACCGTTATAATTTTGAACGAAAAAGAATAATATAAAACTATAAGAAATAAAATAGAATTCAAAATAAATTATAAAGACTACCAATATACACTACAGGAAATCGCACTTTTGCCGACTAAAAATTTAGTCGGCAAAAGTCCATTTTTAGTTGGCAAAAGTAATCCACGACTAATTTTTTTGGTCGCCAATTTCACAACTTTTGGCGACCAAAGTACTTTTAGTTGGCAAAAGTGGTCGCCAAAAGTGTATTTTCTTGTATTATATAATGAATAAATTACACCCTATAATGATTAAATTACACACTATTCCTTGCATTTTTTAAAAAAATCTTAATTCCATACATGATTTTATTTTTATTTTTTTAGTTCAAAATGTTAACAATGCATGACAAATGGTCACATTATAAAAAAATTGAAAGTTTAAGATTCAAACTGAAATTATAAGTATTAAAGTAGCACTTCACTTAAACTAAAGAAACTAATGATGTAATTTACACAATAATCATTAGTGTAGAACTCACCTCCTTGAGGGAAACTTGATACACCATATCATTGTAACTCAAAGAGCTCGAGCCATCAACAATCTTAAATGGAACAAACTCATATCGCACAGCATAAGGCAATGCTGAAATTACAGACCTGAATATTTTGATACAAAATCCACCAAATACGGTAGCATTTGTATGAGGATCTATTTCTGAAAAATCTAAAAATCGCCTAGATGTTGATTTGTGATAATGTATCAATTTTAAGCAGTAAACAACAATCCCAATCAAACAATCAAGACAAATCGACACAACGATTTTACGTGAAAAAACCACAATTGGACACCTCCAATTGTGATAAAAAATCACGGGCAACAGCCACAAAACAATCCACTAAGAAGATATAAAGGAATTACACAGGTATACTCTCAATTACCTAGCGAATCCACGCCCGAATTGAACCAACTTCTATGTGTCTCTTCCAACCCCGTCTTCACCTCGAAATTGTCTTGACGATGAGCCACTCCAGAATCCACCAAAGCTTCAGGCTCAAATTCTTCAGAATCCACCAAAGAACAACTCTCTCTTTTGTGTAGAACAAACAAATAATCCTTTGATGTATACTCTTTAAACCATGAGTTGAATACTCAATCAAAACATCAAAGAAAACTAGTAAAATATCCCCAGATATAAACCTTAGAACCCAAGAAGAAGATCTGGAGAAGTAATCCTAGATTTGGACTGAAACACGTATTTATAGAAAGTTGTCCCGCGATCTCCGCTTGAGCATCGGATTGGCCGCTCGAGCGGACCTACGCTCGAGCGCGGAAAGTTCCGCTCAAGCGGGAAAAAACAACATCCAGTATTTTTGCAGGCGAATAAACTTCTGGAACACAGCATTCTCCGCTCGAGCGGGGGAATGTCAGCTCGAGCAGACAGGCAACTTGGAATGTATTTTTGCATTTTGCTTCGGGGGCGCTGTCCCGAACCCGCCAAGGGGCGCTGCCCCCTCGACCCCCGCGAGCTGACCGGGTAGCTCGATCCCCGTCATAATCAGCAAAGTGACAATCTTGAAAGAATTAGCATCACAAAACTTCTCTGCAAGGCACAATTCGGGTTGGATTCGCATCTAAAACTCATATCCTCACTGAAATACAAGAGCGAATGAAATTACAACTGAAATGAGTTTTGTCAAACGGGATTGCCAATAATAAAAACCTAACAATTTCCATCTTCACAAATTGATTAAATCCGCTCATCGGCACTGCAATTCTTAGCTTCTTACCACTCACCGGTACATTTGTTGACCCTCCTGGCCATATAATTGTGTGAAAGTTTTCCTTTGGACATGAGAAACAATTTTTTGTCGCATTTTCATTAAGTTTCTTTGAAATACCATAGGATTGTCTCCATATCGCTACCTCTCTACCTTGATTTCCCACTACATTTAGTATTTGGAATGGTGATGGGTTTAGTTGACCATTAAGAAGAGAGAATTTACCACTTAGTCCTTCAAATGTTGTCCCCAACATTGCCTCAAGAAGTTTAGGACCTGTTTGAGAGATTCTAAAATTAAATAGGTTTATCGAATTCATTGTGCTAATGTTCTCTATGTTGTTGATTGGTGTCTCCAATCCAACTTTCTCTGCTGCCATAGCTAGTGCCCACATAGTGTCATCTGACCATAGCCCAAAAATGCTTGACTCGTCTTGTTTGATCGTAGAATTAGGATTATTTTGAAAGAAATCAAGTCGTTTGGATTGGGGAACATGAGGTTTGACCCCCAAGACACCTTGCATTGCTTCTATGACATTGGAATCCATAGAGAGTAGGTCCATTAACCCATTGGTGATGATCCACACATAGCCCTCGCTCAACATTCCTATTTCCTTGGCTTTTAGGAATAGGCGAGTGCCAAGAAAATGCGACATGTGCACCACAAATACCCTCGTTTGTATTGTCATCATCTTGTACAATTCTTTCTCAATAAAATCATCGCTCGCTGAAAGAGGAATGATGCTTCTATAGGAAATTCGCGCGGTTTCTTTTAATGCGTTCGACAGATATGGAATTACACCGTTCCCATAATCAGTGTCCTCGTTTATAATGACAACTTCCCTCCACAGGAAGGCCTCAACGATGGCAGCAATGGCTCCAACTTGAGTGTCATCGCTAAGAGCTGTTTGGACAAAGTATTGAGTTCGGGAAAGCACAGAAGGACTTGTTGCAGAGAAAGAAATGACAGGCACATGAGCTCTATCTCCTAGATCCATCACAAAATTGGCTTGTGCTGATTTTTGTGGACCAACTATTGCATCCACCTCCACATCTTTCAACAAATTAATAATTACATGTATTTACATAACCCTTAAGGGGGAAAATTTGGTGAAATTTTCTTAAAGTTATAGTTAGTTTGCTCTAAATTCATCATATGATTCATCATAATCAGGCCATGAAAAGGAGCCTAGCCTACAGAAAATGTTTGTACAAATTAACAAATCTTATTACTTGATGTGTCATATAATAATAAAATTTTAGATACTAAAACAGAACCTATTTCAAAAATATACTAAGTGCCACATCAGTTAATAAAAAAATATATAAGAATTGTTAGTTTGTATAGTTTTACTTAGCCTAGAGTGCAACTAGAGCTCTAACTTTTGATTTTTATTTTTATTTTTTAAAACGAATTTGTGCAAAAACAAAAGGGATTTGTTAGTCGATTCTTACAATGTATCTTGTTGCTCATAAGGGCCTCACTTGTAATGTAGGAGTTATTCCATCTTCTTTGGTTATTCCAATGGTTTTTTTTAATAGGTAATTTTAGGTTTCGAACCCAGACCATACACCTAAACTTAAGATGTAAAGAGCCAATTTTGGGCAACATTTAAGGTGATCAAAAGCTAAACTTCTCCTTTTTTTCCCCCCACAAATTAAAGCAATACAAGACTGAAGCTCAATAGATCGTGATAACAAGGCCACTTGTCACTTACAATTATACAATATCCGTGCAAAAAACAAAACAATTGAATAAACTTACGTGTTCGGGAATCTTTTTTTTTTATTAAAAAATGAAGAAGAAAAGAACAGAAAGAAAAGAAACTATACGTGTATATGTAAAAGTATACATACCAACAGCTGCAGCATCGATAACCTGTTCCCTGGAATCTCTAACATGGAGGACCAACCTGGTTTTGTGGTTTTCATGAGCCGAATAAAAATCCTTAAGAGCCATATTTAAGTGGCTCAGTCCCATTCTCCCTACTTTTGAATCCAAATCAAGAACCACACCCACTTGAAACACAACTGAACCATTGCCAAAAACATTACTTTGGGATGTACCAAAAAAAGTATAAAAACTAATCAAAACAAGAAAGATATGTAAAAACATCTTGTTATTGTTGCTGTTTCTCTTCAATTTTAAATTGGGTTTTCATTTGTTGTAAGCAAGACTGCTATATATACACACTATGCATTCTTGATTTTGGTGAGGTTCTCTACGTTGATTAATTAATTGTGTGGTGAACATCATAGGAAGTTGTTATTTCGGAGTCAATAACAATGGTATTTACCTAGTAATTTCTTCTCTACGTAGACAAATCAAATGATATGATATCAATTTGGTCTTCTGCAAAAACACAAAAAGATAACCTCCCATTTTTATGATTAGGATTTATTTGTAGGAATTAGTTTGCCTCTAGTCCTTTAGAATTTGGTGTCATGGGTTTATTATAATTAGGTGGTATCTAGAGCTATTATGATTGGTTGAGAGGACGGGATCATGATTTTGAGTTGATGTACCAGAGAAGAAAACATAGTGTTGGTGATTAGTGGATGGCACAGTTTCATGTTGCCCCAATCACATACTAATTTTTCTCATTACTGGCACTATTTTAATAATTTAAATTATTCAATTTATCAATAATATTAGAATGACTATTGCTTCATATATTTTGTGTACTATATCTTCACATACACACTTGTTAAATATGTCAGGTCCACATAATATTTTCTAATTACACTTAACTTATTGATGATAAGATTTAAGATGTTTCAAGTTCAAATCATCTTAAAGGGTCACTAGAGATTTGTTGGGTTATTAATTTAAGGTCTCAAAATTAGTTAAGGTATACATGAGCTAACTCCAACGCTCAGTTATTAAAAAATATATTTTAAATATTTTTTTATAGATGATGTACATAGAGAGGCGTATAAAACAAACTAATCAAATTACTAAAGTGAGACTTGCAATAAATTTACAAACCTGAACTGCACCGATCTAACCAACGAACTCAGTTGGAGACAACCTAATCCTTAAATTAAATTAGGCTTCATTTGACATGTCAATTTGGGGCTAAAATATCCATAAAAAGACAAAATAGGCTAAAAGTAAATAAGACAAAATGTTACATTCAAATCATAATCATTTCACTTTTTCTCTCACAAAAATAAAAATAAAAAAACCAAAAAGTCTAATCCAAACAAACGTTTTAGCCTCGGGCTAAAAGTTAAAAAATTAAAAAATCAACTCATTTCCTAAACGAAGACTTAGCAGGGGAGCAACTTATTGTTGTTGTCCTGATGAATTGTTGTTTGCTAGTTTTGGGTTAATTGGTTTGTATTAGTCTTGGTTAGTTTTTACTTAGGTGAGATTGTTTTGGGTGTTTGTGGTTGGTTCCTGTAACGCCCTCAAAATAATACATAAAACCCATTACTTTAAACATGCATTAATATAAAAGAAATCAACCATTTCTATTCATCAGAGTAATTCTTACAACTGTATTAAATGTTAACAACAAAAGCAAATGCCCTATGGGCTTACAGCTTTCCAAGTCAACACCTGGTTACAC